AAGAGACTCACCTGATATGCGAAATATGACATGGTAATGCATTGAGAAATGGACGGCTCCACTGCATATCTGCATGGGAAAAGCCTCATATAACTTCCACAAAAATAAATTTGGGAACTATTAAACATGACTAAAACAATTAGGCCACTGGGGATAATTCTAAGAGAATATCTCACTAGGCTTGGAGGTGCACACCTGTAATCCCAGTACTTGGAAGGCTGAGGCAGGAGGATCACCATGCATTTGAGTACAGCCTGAGTACTGAGCTATATAGTGAGTTCAAGGCCATCTTGAACTATACAGGAAAACTTTATCTCAGAGAGAGAGAGAGGGAGGGAGGGAGAGAGAGATGCAGAGAGAGGGTCTCTGTGACATTGAAATAGATCAACTATCATGTATCTGCATAAAAACATGAACTTCTATCCATAGAGGGAGACATTGACATATTTGGCAAGATTAAGATTCATGAAGGACTGAGGATTTAGCTCAGTGGCACCATGCCTGTCTTGCAAGTACAAGGTCTTGAGTTTGGTCTCTGGTACAAAAGAAAAAAGATTCATTAAAAGAGTGAAAAACTCCAAAAAAAAAAAAAAAAGATCTAAGACAGGCATGGTGGTACACACCTGTAATCCCAACACTTGGGAGACTGAGGCAGGAGGATTGCTGTGAGTTCGAGACCAGCCTGGGCTACCTAGTGAGTTCCAGATCAGTCTCAACTACATAGTGAGACCCTGTCTCAAAAAACCAAAAAAAAAAAAAAGCAATATGAAGACTGAAAAGTCAACAATAGTATCATTATGAATAAGTTTGATTTCATAGTTTTGAGAGTTGATAGACAAAGAATGGAATCACCTTAGACAGGTGTGAACATTCACAAAGAGGTGAAAAGGCTCCAGAGAGGAGAATCTGGATAAGCCTAAGAAACAAGATCACCAGAAGAATTAATGGAATTCCTTGCTATCACGAATAATATGAATGATAATTAATTATTATTTCATTCATCCAAGTAACAAATATTTCCTGAGTGCTAGCTACGTGCCACGAATTATTCTAGGAAATGAACATATAACAGTAAGGCAAAGTTCCTCCTGTCATGGTATTGTTATAGGGCAGGCATTGCAGCAGGAGGGGCAAGAGAAAAAAATAATATGTAAATGAAAAAAATTAGTAGTAACAGTGGGAAGGCAGGGAGTCACCAGGGAGTTCCAACAGATGGCGTGAGCAGAACAAGGCCGTCTAGTGGGTAGGAATTTAGTTGTCTTCTGAATGGCAAGATGAGCCAGGCTTCAGTGCTCGGGAAGAAGAGCGTTTCTGGCAAAAAGGTGAGGCAAAGATTCAAGGTTGGAAAAAAAGCCTAGCAATTCAGGAAGCATGAAGAAGACCAGAGTAGCCAATGCCCTGTGACAAGGAGACAAGTGGTATAATATGGGACTACAGAGGTAACTAGGGCATTGTTCATGGAGGGTTTTGTGGCCTGAGTAAAGAGTTGTGTTTTATGTATTTCTTGGTTTTGGGTTTTTTGAGACAGAACTTCTTTATGTAGCTCAGGTTGGCCTACTACTCACTATGTAGCCCAGGCTGGCCTTGAACTTGCAGCGATCTTCCTGCCTCAGCCTGCCGAGTGCTGGGATTACAGGCATGCGCTACCGCCTGGTTGTTATGTGGTTCTTCTTGCCCGAAGTATTGATATGCATGTGCATCCTGTCATCATAAGTGGCAGCGCTCTAGCCCTCTTCTAGGTGTCATTATGTTGTCGTAAAGTGCTCCCAGGAGAAAGTCTGGAGAAATAGAATTCTAACTTCTCTTAAAGAAAAAGAAAGCAAACAGAGAGTCTGGGACTTAGCTCAGTGGTGCTGCCGCCTGCCTCGAAAACACAAGGGCCCAGGGTTCGATCCCTGTTACCAAAAACAAAAACAAAACAAAACAAAACAAAAAACCGAGAAAGCAAGATAGCAGAAGGTGAAGAAGAGAAGGAACAAATAGCGAGCAGCTGATTTGTTAATATTGTTAACAAGTACAAATAAATGTTAAACATTGTATAGTTAAATGCTCAGGTAAATGGACAGACATTAAGTTATATACAGAACCATAAGTATCATGCTGTCTCAGTAGACTGAGAGACACGTGAAAGCATTTCAAAGGTCTCTCTTACTGGTAAAACTAGCAAGAAATGAAACATCTTTTTGTTTTTATTTTGTTGAGGTAGGGTCTCACTATGTAGCCCCAGCTGGCCTTGAACTCTTGACCTGCCTCAGCCTCCCAAGTGCTGGGATCACAGGTGTGCAGCACCACGCCCGGCCGCCCGGCTTGACACATCTTAATGGAAGAAACAATTGGTATATTTTCAAATAACGGTAAGGACATATGTGTTTGACTTAGTGCGGGAAGGGAAGGGGATTATCAAAGGAATGGGAAAGTATAATAGAATTTCCAGCTGGAGTTCGATCCTGGGTACCAAAAAAAAAAAAAAAGAATTTCCAAAATGCCAATGGAGCAAGAGGTGGAACTAAGCATAACTCGATCTAACCAGCAAAAACATAGAATGTGTAATGTACAAGATGGCATAGGGAGTGAAATCAGGGCTGGGCATGAGACGCAGTAGTAGAGTTCTTGCCTGGCACGAACAAGGCCCTGAGTTCAATCTCCAGGACCACACACAAAAAAGTATCACTTATTTCACTGTGGAATCATGATCAGTACAAAAGAGAGCACACAAGGAGGGGAAGCCAGGCTTGTGGGTGCACAGCTGTAGTCCTAGCTACTCAGGAGGCAGCCAGAGGGTCAGAGGTTTCAGGCCAGCTGGGCAACCTAGTGAGACCTTGTCTCAGAAATAAAATAAAAGGTAAGATAAATAATTAAGTAATTAAAAGATTTTAATAAAAAAATAAAAGGGCTGCCGATGTAGCTAAGTGGTAGAGTTAAATGTTCATTTGCCTAGCATTTGTGAGACCCTGGGTTCAATTCTCACCACTGAAATGAATAAAATAAGAAAGTAAGTAAAAATGTAAAAACCTAGCTAGTCTGTCAGAATAAACACACAAATACACAAAAAGTAAAACAGTTAAAAAGTGGTTGGAATACATAGAAAAAAATAAATATATGTATATAAATATTTTTTGGTATCAGGATTGAACTCAAGACCTTGTACTTGTGAGGCAAGTGGTGGCACCACAGGTCTAAATCCCCAGCCTGAAAATAAATTCAATTTTAAAAATAATATATATAATGCAAAATAAAAATAACAGGCAATCTTGTAGTGTAACAAAGTTTTTTTTTTTTAATTTTAAAACAAGAGCGATTTTAACACAGTGATGCTGCTACCTGCCTCGTAAGTGCAAGGTCCCGAGTTGGATCCCAGGCACTGAAAAAAAAATTAAAGCAAAACAAACAAGCAAAACAACAGACATAATTGTCTGCTTGTCAGATGGGCAAAAATTTAAAAGTTGACAAAACCCAGTATTTGCAAGGCGGTAGAGAGCCGGGCAACATCACGTGCTATAAACTCACATGAGCTTTTTAGGGGGAAGTGTGGCAGTGTGAACATTTTAATTAAGCCAGTGTTTTAGTAATTCTGCTGCCAGAAAATTCCCTTAAGGAAGCTCCCAATAGTGTGTATATAACTGAACATGTTTGTCATGAAATTGTTTATAAAACAATACTGGAAATAGTTGAAATACATATGACTAGTTAAATTATAGACCGTGCAGTGTAATCTCATGTGGCCATTTAAAAGGATGAAATAGATGTATACTTACTGATATGAAACGATGTCACACGCACTGTGAAAATGTAAAAACACAGGTGCTCCATCTCTCCTTAGGGAGTCTGCTGTTTAAACTTCAGTTCTACACTTAATACCTTTCCATACCCAGAGATTTCCCAGAGCCAGGCTATGTGGGAAATCTCTGTGGGGAAGACAGACCGCAGAGTGGTTTCTGGAACAGTTCAGTATGCAAGTAATTTTATTTACTTACCTATTTATTTATTTGTACCGAGGTTCGAATTTAGGACCTTACACTTGCAGGGCAGGCGATGGAACCACTGAGCTAAATCCCCAGCCCCCATTTTGGTTTTTTGATACATGTGATCCAGGCTAGTTTTTTTTTTTTTTTTTTAGACAGGGTCTCACTATGTAGTTGAGTCTGACCTGGAACTCACTGTGTAGCCCAGGCTGGTCTCGAACTCCCAGCGATCCTCCTGCCTCAGCCTCCCTAGTACTGGGATTACAGGTGTGTGCCACCATGCCCGGCTCAAAAGAACATTTGAAGTGACTGAGTTCAACTTCCTACTTTATTATTATTATTATTACTTATTTAGGTACAGGGGATTGAACTTGGGTCCTTGAGCTCAAGAGGCAGGCGGCCAAGCCACTGAGCTAAATCCCCGGTCCCCAGGCTAGTCTTGAACTCACTGTGGAGCCCAGGCTGGCCTCGAACTCACAGCGATCCTCCTGCCTCAGCCTCCCAAATGCTGGAAACATAGACATGCATCACCACAGCTAACTACAAGGTATATTCTCGTCCCTGGTTCTTCCCTTCTCTCTCCGCATCTTGGCTGTCAGGCCTTTCCATCCTGCTGTTTCTACCTTGGAGCCAGCCAAACAGGGACTAAAGCCATGAGCCAAATAAACATTTTCTCCCTTAAATTATGAGTGTCAGTTATTTTGTCCCATGGAGGGGAAAGTGCAAATACAAGACTGGAACTGGAGAAGGGGTAGAGTTGGGAGAGGGGTTGAGATAGGGGTTCAGAGAGAGGGGGCAGCATAAAGAAGTGTAAGGCAGGTGAGCAGCCTGCCCCCCCAGGCCCTCCTGGGCATGAAATTTTTGGGGGGAAATGCCGGGGGTTGAACCCAGGGCCTCCCACATATGAGGCAAGTGCTGTGTCACTGAGTTATACCTCAGTGCTCACCACAAAGTCCTGCCTCTGCAGATCTCCCCTGTCCAACAGTGCCCATCACCAAGGGGACATCCACAAAGGACAAATGAGTAAAAAGGGAGACAAAGACTTTATTGTGTTAAGAGGAGTACAAGGTTAAAACCAAACCCTTCTCAAGCCTTGGTGGCCCCCATTCCTCTGAGCACTCTGTGCTCACCAAATCCTTATGGTTTCCTCAAGTCTTCCCCAAGTCTGCACAACCTTGAGGTGGGAAGGTGACCTGCGCCTGATCCATGGAGATGACTGCTCGAGAGTTTCTTCATGCTGATCCATGCTCAGTGGCCCATAGGTGCCCAGATCAGAGCCCCTGTGGTTCCAGGTCAGGTCCTACATGCAGGCCCTGGACTCAGGGCAGCTCTGGAGGTGCCCAGCAGAGCTCCGGCCCCAGGCTTGGCAGGCAGAGAAGATCTTGGTGCTGTCATCAGGTCAGTGCAGCCACCCTGACCTCTAGGGATGGCAGGACCAAGATCGAGGTGTCACCAGCCCCCAGAAGGTTGTCTGTGCCAGAGAAGGGTAGATTGTGAAGGAGATTGCTTCTGGTGACCCATGTTGTACATCCAAGATGTGGGAGCCCAATTCCCAAGCCAGGCCCTGACGCTGACCCTCATTTTAAACTGGAGAGAACAGGGGCTGGCTGCTTGGTGCTCTTGATGGGGACGTGGTGAGGACTGCGTCACTTACCTGGGGCAGAGGACAGTGCCGCCGTGCATACCACTCCTGGCAGTACAGGCTGACCTGGATGCCCTGGCCCAGGAAAAGCATGGTCCACATCAGCACATTCCACGCAGGGCCCGTGTGGCGGTCATTCATCGTGAAGTTCAGCAGCACTGGTGCAGGAGAAAAGGCTGTCACTCCAACTGCAGGTCCCCGTGCCTGGCTGCCTCCCTCTCTCAGGCACTGGGAAGCAATGGAACAGGAAAGCCCCAGAATCCTCCCTTGCTGCTCCCCAGGCTCTCCCCACCCGGTCCTCAAGCCCAGCAGCTTCCCCGTTGGCTTCCCTCACCTCCTCCCTCTGGCTGTCTCCCTTCCAGTGGCACAGAGGCCAAGCTCACCCCCAAAGACAAGGAAGAGCATCAGCATGACGGGGTAGAAGAACCCCAGGACGAAGCAGAAGATGTACTCGTGCACCACCGCAGAGATGAGGAACACACCCATCATGGCTGCCCCTCGGGCCCTGCCACCAAGGAGCTAGCAGGACGAGGGGAGTGAGGAGTGAGTCTCCCTGAGCCACTCCATGAAGGGTCCCCTCCTTTGGGAAACCAGGAGGGAGTGTGGTGTGATGGAAAGAATACAGGACTCGAGTGGGCCAACATCAGTCTTACTTACAGACGTTGTATTAGCCCACTGGGCCTTAAGTGCAATTTTTTAAATGGGACTATAATAATCCTTGCTCCTTGGGGTCACGGTGCTGATTAGATGTATATAAAAATCCTTGGTAACTGAGAATTGTTACACACATGTTTCTTTGAAGGCTAAGAAGGGAAAAAATGGTCCTAGTGCAGGCTTTCTGCACACTTAGTTGTGTAGAATGGGACAGGTTAAGTCAACAGAGTTCTTGGGTCTGGACGGGGCAGCTGGTACAGATGCAGAAAAGGAGAGGGTGCCCTGGACATCACCTGTTAACAGAGGGAGCTGAAGGGGGTCAGCAGGGCCCATACCCACAACCCATCCTGATACACGTAGCTGTACAGCCAGTCATGGACCACTATGTTCCATGTGCGGTAGTAGTTGGAGAAGGAGGTTGAGTTCCACCAGTCCTGTGGAAAAAGTGAGGCCAGGTGGGGGAAAGGAGATGAATATCCCAGGCCCCAGCTTCTCCCGATACTCTCTGTTCCTGCCACCTACACCATGCCCCTCTGTGTCCCAAAATGGCTGGCTTCTGGCTGAATAGAGACAGCAGCACTTTCCTGGCTCCCTCTTGAGGACTAGGGCCTCCCTGCTCCTAGGAGCTGAAGATTCCATTTTTCCATCCACACAGAGGCAGTTAGCCCCGGCCATCCAGCAGTGAAGGGGTGGCACCATCACATACCTAGGGGCCTGCACTGCTCGTTGTGGGAGACCAACAACACAACGAGGTAATACCCAACACAGCCACCATCTCTTCTGATCCCTTCTCAGCCCTCCCTGACTCCAGCTCCCAGCTGGCCCCTGTCCCGGCCCCACCCGGTAGAACATCCTGTCTCCAAATTGCAGCATCTCAGCGAAGGCATTGAGCCAGCAGTGCAGGAAGGCGAAGAAGATGAGCAGCAGCATGAAGATGCCTGGCGGTGGGGATAAAGGCTACAGTCAAATCTTACCAAGCACTCATTGGTCATTTACATGTATTTGTTAATTTATCCACCTGCTTGTGAATATTTATTTGGCATCTACTGCATGCCAGATGTTGGGAATAGAGATGAATCACACAGTCCCCGATCTTGGAAGCTCCCGGACTGGCTGGGGAGACATACAGAGAGACACTCCAACTATCCATCAAGGTCAATGCAATGGGAGTGAAGCCGGGCAGCCACTGATGTGTTTGGAGTGCAGAGGTATGGGTGAATCATCATAACTGATGGTTAAACCAGGAAGGTGAGGTGGTGTGCTAGGAGACTGAGGCCACTTGAGCCAAGGAGTTCAAGGCCAGCCTGAGTGACACAACAATGTCTTGAAGAAGACAAGAAGATGAAGAGAAGGAGGAAGAGGAGAAAGGCTTCGGGGGTGGGGGCTGTTAACTCAACCACAGAGCTCTAGGAAGGAACTAGATTCATGGCTGGAAAATGGGGAAAGAGAATTTCGAGCTAAGGGACCCATACGAACAAAGGTCCAGAGGTATGGAAGCACATGTCTTGCAGGGGAAAGCTGGGTTTACGGTAGAATGAGAAGATGGCCTGGGACCTTGAATGCCAGACAAGGGTTTAAATTTTGGGGGGCCGAAGAGTTTGAGACAGGGTCTTACTATGTAGGTGAGGCTGACTATGGAACTCACTATGTAGCTCAATCTGATCTTGAACTCACAGTGCTCCTCCTGCCTCAGCCTCCCGAGTGCTGGGATTACAGGCATGCGCCACCACACCCAGCAGCAAGGGTTTAAATTTTATTTGCACATGCCAGCAGTGGGGAATCACTGGTGTTTGAAAGAGTATAGGGAATGATGAGTTCAAAGTACCATTAGAGAACTTTACCTGGGTGACAGTGTCAGGAGCAGATGGGAGGGGGGAGTTTCAGGTGGTAGGGAGGTAGGTTAAGAGGCGGAGCTGGTATGGCAGCAATGAGCACACATACAATAGGGGACAGATAGGAGAGGAAATTCAGAAAGAGGAGGCATTGAAACTGACGGAAGGCACAGAGCAAGGCCTTGCCTGCCACGCCCTCCCCAGGGCCAGTCTCACCCCACCTCAAAGGGCTTACCTGGCAATGTTGCGTGCAGAATGGAGAGCACTAGTGCACGGGTGCTGAAGGGCTCCTGGCTCATGTTTGCAAAGATGGGGACACAGAGGCGACCCAGGATGAAGCAGGCGTAAAGCACACAGCACAGGGCCTGTAGAGGGAGCCAGGGTGCACAATTTTGAGGGGACACTGGCACTTCACTCTGTATAGGATTCTAGCCCAGCCTCTGCCCCATCCCGCCTTAGAACCAGCCTCTTTCCCTCCCAGGCATTCCCTACCACACTCCTGGGAGTAACCCTAGCCACTGTGAGTCACAGCTGGCTTCCTCTACCCCATCTTCTGACCTGAGCAAAGTTCTTGGCCACATAATTCCACCTGATGCTGGAAGTCCTGCAGCAGCAATAGGATTAATATGTTTCTCAGCCTTTTCTGCCACTCTCTTCTCAGGTCTGCAACCCTCTTTCTGCAGTTCCTTCCATTGCTCAGGCCTGAGTGGACTATCTAGGGAGATGTGGCTCTAGAACACTTCCCGTAACAAAGATGGCAACTGAATTTTTAGCTTGGGTATCAAGTAAGATGACCAGCCATCCAGGGTTTCGTGGGATGTGTGGGATTTTCAGTACTAAAATCAGAATGGCTCTGGTCAAACCAGGACAGTTGATCACACTAGTGACATGGGCTGGGTGAGGGAAAGGGTCAGTCTACCTCCCATTTCCTTCCCATCTTTATTGTGGGATGCTTCCTGAGCAAGGGACCAGGGTCTGGAGAAGAAAGGACCTCATGAAGAGGAGAGCAAAAGAACAAGGTTCCTGGTGGGCCCGGGAATTTGGGAAGGGACTACAAGGTCTCACCTGGGATAAGTCTCCCGGTAGATGAGTGTGGGGCAGAAGAGGAAGTAGAGGTAGCTGGAGAAACTGGGGGTCCAGACCTCTTCACCTGGGGAGGCATGACAGGGGTGTGTCAGGAGGGGTGGGCAGAGAGTGGGCATGGAGGTCGGTGAGCTGGCTGTTGAAGAAGAGAGTAAGGTTAGGGAGTAGACATGTGGATGGTTGGATATAGGGTCTGCTGCTCCCCCGCCTTCCCCACCGGAGATTGAAATCAGGACCTTCACAGAATTATACTCCTAGTCCTTTATTTATTATTTTTTTAAATTTTGAGACAGAGTCAGGCTAATTTGTTCAGGCAGGATTTGAACTAGCAATCCTTCTGCCTCAGCTTCCCAGAGTGCTGAGATTAAAGGCATATGCTACCACACTGGCTCACATCCTGTCTTTTGCTTCTCAGGCACCCCATTTTTCAGCGCAGAACCTACTGTGGCCAGAGCTTCACTTAGCAGCCACAAGTGCCATGACCCATTCTATTTGCCCTTCTTTCCTGACTTCCTCGTATGCATTCTCCACCCTGGGTCTTGCCAGGCAGGACTGCAAACAGGAAACCACCAGAAGTCCTGGGTAACAGAATGCATCTCTCCAAAGTGTTGCCTGTGGACCCTGATGACTAAAGCCCACAGAGCCTAACTGAAGGCCAAAGCTGGGGCTGCTGGGCAAGATAGCTTGGGGAGGTAGAGCTTTCATGAGAACATTGCAATTGCTGGCTTCATTCGACTGACTCAGAGGACTGAGTTCATGACAGGGCTGGCTGAAGGCCTCACCTCCTCTGACACGAAGGGTCCCAGGGATGGTCTCTCTCAGGAAGGAGTAGCTTTTCATCAGGAACCTGACCTGAGGTGGAGTGGAAGGGAGGCCAGGTTGCCGAGTGGCTCTCAGAAAATCACTCAACCTCTCTGTGTTCTTGTTTACCGTAAAGGCAAGCAGAGTGTAAGATCTGTCTGGTCAGAGCCTGTCTGGTTTAGTCAGGTGGCATTATAACCCAATAAGACAGCTGCTGGGACAAAGGGGAAAGGGGAAAGGAGAGGCCAAGGTGGGGACTTTCTCCCACCAACCCCATATAACTCTGCAGAATCAGATTATGTCTACTTAGCAGCCCCTTTTCATTTATGTTCTTGGAGCCCATGGGTTCTTTCAAACCCTCAAATCCTCATAGTCAGCCCCATTCCTGACAATACTGTATGTATCCCCTGCCTTCCTCACATGGACCCTCCTTGTGGTGCAGCTCCCCACCCCCCAGTCTCATGCAGGGCTCACCCTCACCTGTTCAAAGACCAGCACACAGCGGGAAGCTGGCTGCAGCTCATGCTTTACCACCACATGGATGGGGAGGATGCAGAGCACGGAAGCATGGGCGGCCAGCAGCACAGAGCTCAAAGGCACTCCCAGGGCCCAGCAGCCCCCAGTCTGGGTCCTTGCCCACAGCCGCAGAGCCTGGTAAGGCACTAACAGAGTGGACAGGAACATGGGGACCCACGTCACCAGCGCTAGGGGCAGCTGTCCGAAGCTGAAGATCAGTAGGTCAAACTGTAGTACCAGCCTTGGGGTAGGGGAAATAGAGAGAGTAGACAAAAGTGTAGCCCATCCTTGTCTTGTTCCCCTTCAGTCACTACTCTTGGAAGATAAGCTGAGGTGTCTTGATATGGCTGTGTGGTGCATCTTCCAAGATGTTCAGGATGGCACCTCTGTTACCCAGGATTTTGGGCAAAGGGCATTGTCAAAGGAGACCTTAAATGACATTTAGAGCCCTCTGTGAATTCTATGGTGTTCCAAAAGGGCTCAATATTCCATATAACACAGGTGTTAGGGTATGGGGTGGTTAGAATTTAACTTTGATTTATCCTTAGTTTTGTTCCTCTCAGAAAGTCTGTATTGTAGACTTGAGCTAGCAGGACACAGACTGTTCCTAGTTAAGAGTGTATGCTTGGGCTGGGCATGGTGGCACACTCCTGTTATCCTAGCACTCGGGAGGCTGAGGCAGGAGGATCACTGGGAGTTCGAGACCAGCCTCAGCTACTTAGTGAGTTCCAGGTCAGTCTCAACTACATAGTGAGACCCTGTCTCAAAAAAAAGAGTGTATGCTTTAAGGCCAGGGATGTAACTCAGTGGCACCACACCTACCTGGCAAGCTCAAGGTTCTGAGTTTGATTCCTGGTACCAAACAACAACAACAACAACAAAAAGTCCATGCTTTACTGGGCGTGGTGGTATAGGCTTGTAATCCCAGCACTCAGGAGGCTGAGGTAGGAGGACTGCTGAGAGTTTGAGGCCAGCCTATGCAGTGAGACCTTGTCTTAAATCTTTCCACCCCCCAAAAAAGAGTATATGCTTTGTAAAGGTGAGAAATTGGAAACAACCTAAAATACATTAATAAAGAACGAAATGAACAAACTCTGGCACCTCTGTACTCTCAAGTCATTAAAATCAATGGGTTGACAAAGAAATATCCCTAAAACAGGGATACATAAAAACAAACTGCAAAATAATATGTGCATATTTTGGCCGGGCGTGGTGGCACATGCCTGTAATCCCAGCACTCGGGAGGCTGAGGCAGGAGGATCACTGTGAGTTTGAGACCAGTTTGGGCTACAGTGAGTTCCTACCCCCCAAAAAAGAGTATATGCTTTGTAAAGGTGAGAAATTGGAAACAACCTAAAATACATTAATAAAGAACGAAATGAACAAACTCTGGCACCTCTGTACTCTCAAGTCATTAAAATCAATGGGTTGACAAAGAAATATCCCTAAAACAGGGATACATAAAAACAAACTGCAAAATAATATGTGCATATTTTGGCCGGGCGTGGTGGCACATGCCTGTAATCCCAGCACTCGGGAGGCTGAGGCAGGAGGATCACTGTGAGTTTGAGACCAGTTTGGGCTACATAGTGAGTTCCAGGGTAGCCTCAACTACATAGTGAGACCCTGTCTCAAAAAAACCAAATACATAAATAAAGGTACATCTTTGTTTATGAAAACCCTTATATATCTCTTTGGTTTGATTGAATGCATGGAAAATGTTCTGGAGGAAAACTCAAAACTGGTAAAAATGGTTACTGCTAGAGAGTGGTTATAGATTGAGGAGTAAAGCACTGTCGCTTTACAGTAAAAGGTGTATTTGAGCTTCCTCCAACCCTCACCCTGTGCAGGACTTTGCACATGCGAGGCAAGTGTTCTACAACTGAACTGTACCGCTAGACCTATCTGAACTTTTACTGAGATTTTTATCCTTGTAAAACTCATAATTAACAGAAATTTTACCAAAAAGAAATGCTACTGCTGAACCTGGAGATTCTGGGTCCTCCTCCTTTTACTGCTTCCTAAGCCCAATTTAGGGTGAGATGGGTAGATGCAAAAATACAGGCCCCTAGGGGTCCCCAGCTTTCTGAAGCTCATTCTCAAAATGTGGATGGTGCTCTGTGGGAAAAACACCCTGCCGAAGCAGTTGTGTACACACCGGTTTTACCCACAGTATTGGAACCGGCTCACAGTCAGGGACGGGGACTGCCTCCTTGCCTCCTTTGCCCCCAGGGCTGGTTGGTGCTCAATAGGTACTCAGTGAAGTTTACTTTAATGAATAGCATTGACCTGGAAAGGAGTGTGTGTGTGTGTGTGTGTGTGTGTGTGTATGTGTGTGTGTGCATGCACCTGCGTGCACACCTATATCTCCCTCAAGGCAAATTGTCATTGAAAAGAATTTGAGAGGGGCATAGTGTCCTCATAAAAGCTGGCTCTTGAAGGAAAGACCAAGGGCCATCCAAGGCTTGCGGGGAAAGGGTCCATGAGTATTTTAGGTGGGAAGATGTTGGAAGCCACGTTGATGTGTATCCAATAATCAAAGAGGGACATATGCCTTCTTGGGTCCAGGGGAAGGTGGGATACAGAGACCAAGTGTTTGATCTGTGTGCCTATCAGGGTGGGAGGGTGCCTACCTGCCCTCATCAATGAAGTCAATGGCCAGGGTGCTGATGATGAAGACACACAGGCCGGCCACAAACATATGGTAGATGGTGCGGAAATGCTGCACTTCCATCAGCTCACTGGAGGGACAGGTCATAAAGGTCAGTGTGGCAGAGTCCTCAAGGTCAAATGGACTAACTCAGGCACTGTACATATGAGGGCTTTGGCCTACTGATCCAGAACTACCAGCTGTGGGCTGGGATGTGGCTGAGGCTTCCAATTCTGGTGGCTTCTATAAGCATGCCCAAGCAAATGGGGGAAACAGCCTTGGAGAGCCTTTCCAGAACCTCCCCACAAACCACCTAGAGCCTAGGTGTGAGAAATAAGGAGTCCTGGACTGCCGGCTGAAGTCCTTTCTTTTCTTCCACCCATCTTCACCCTTGACTTACTCAAGCAGGGACTTTCGGATGATGAAAACTTTCCGTTTCCCAAGGGGTGGCTCCCTGGTCCTGCATTGAGACAGTTATTCAGGGTCAGGCCCCAAAGGAAGAAAGCAATGGGAAGAGGGCAGGGCTGCATGGGAGGTCAGTGCTTCTGAGCCATGGGCTGTAGCAGGGGAAGACCAGGGCAAGGGCAGAACAAGGAAGGCCCGGAAGGTGGAGACCAGGGTTAGGAAGCCAAGGCCATAAGGGAAGTAGAGAGGAGGCTGAAGTCAAGGTCATGCCAAAGCTGCCAAAGGGTGCGTGCGTGCTCATGGCTCATCATCCTTACGATGGAGGAAGACTGCAGTCCTTTCCATCCTGCTAGAGTCTCAGACTCACTTGCTCGTTGAAGCAGAGGGAGTGGAGGATATAGTTCTGTCTTGTGATGGGTAGGACTGTACAGCCTCCCACATGGCCCGATCCAGCAGTTCTACCAACTGTCCCCGGGCTTGCTCCAACAATTGCCTCTTCACAGCCTGAAGACAAAGGCAGGGTGAAGCCCACTCTCCTACCCATCCAGCAATCCTTTCACTCACCAAACATCTACTAATCTTCTCTCTATACTGGGCCCAGCACTAAGTGCTACGGATAAAAGATGGCAGCCCATGGTTCCTGCCTAGAGCTTCTCACCACTTATCTCCAGGCTTCCTGGGCCAGCATTGAGAATCAAAAATGACAGCAGGAAGCTGAGCGTGGTGGTGCATGCCTGTAAGGCCAGCACTTGGAAGGCTGAGGCAGGAAGATTGTAAATTTAAAGCTAGCCTGAGCTCCATAGCATGACCCTGTATCAAATAACACCCCCCCACACAGGATCTACTCTGGGTCTATCACCTCTGAGCCTCTCATCCCTGACCTCTGACCACACTAGCCCGGAAGCTATACTGGTTGACTTTTGGTCCTTGCCCTGAGGGCTTGTGTCTCATACACCTCCATATTAGCCTTTAATTCTACTTTTTTTTTTTCTTTCATACCGGGAACTGAACTCAGGACCTTGCACTTGTCAGGCAGGCGTGGAGCCACTGAGCTACATCCCAGCCATAACCCTTAATTCTAAATTGATCTTTGAATTCAATAGGTGATCTTATCACCAAACCATTCAAGTCTTTACCCCTGGCTCCTACCACCCCATGACCTGTCCATTTTGGCCTCTGATCTCTGAGGTCCCTCACCTCCATATGTCGGGTCCATTGCACCAAGTCTGGGACTCTGGGCGGCTCTGTGTTTCCTAGGAGAAGGGGTCAAAGGGCACACACACTCAAGGGGGTGGAGTTAGGGTTCTGCAGACCGAGAGGCGCCCTCTGTCCAGGAAATGCTTTCTAAATAGCTGCCTCCCTGCCCCCCAACCAGTCAATATCTAGTATCCTGGGTAGAACAACCAGAAGGGGAAGTTATTTTTGCAGGGAGTGAGGAAGCCATTACAAGAAAGAACCTGAAGATATTGCTAGAAACAGGATACCCTGGGAACAAGAAGCTACTCCATTTATCCTCTGCAGTGAAAGGGTCAGAAAGATAAGGCAAGACCACCGTTCTGAATATTCTTTTCTCCTCCATCTGGCTCGGCAGTGTGAGGCAGAGGCCAGCATCTGCCTTCCCTAGCCTCCCAGGACAGCAGGAAGATTTTTTTTAATTAGTTTTGGGGTTTGAAGTCAGTTGAGTGTGCACTCTACCACTACCCACCGCAGCAGGAAGGATTGAAGTTAGACTGTAGGAGGTTCATTCAACAATGAATCTCTCCCTAATCCCAGCCTGAATCTTATGCCCTACCAAGAGGACTCACCTTCTCCAGGGTGTCGCTGCTCCTGCTCCTGCTTCTGCTTCCCACCCAGCCCCTCTCTCCTTTGCACACGCAAACGGGCCCCACAAGGCTCCATGGCTGGTCTGGATGGGCAGTGGGAAGCTGGCTCCCTTCTTTCTTTCACAGCCTGCCTGCCTGCTGAGCCCTTGTCACTTTCTGACGGTCTGTCAGCTCCAACGACTAAAGTCCTTTCAGCAGGACAGGTTATCTAAAAGCAGTGTTTATCAGATCCAGGCTCTACTCTGCTGGCTGTCACAGGGATGGCTGCATTCCTTAATACCCAGCCCACCACCCAGCTGCCCAGCTCCAACTCTGCTGTCACTCCTGCCACAGGACCAGTGGCTCTGCCAGTGGCTAGGAGGGAGACTGCCTCTCTGGGGCTCATCACCTAGCATGGCTCGCCCTCTACCCCTCTCCTGCAGCCTAAAGGTCAGGGAGGAGAATGTCACTGCATTCAGCTTCCTGAGACCATGAGATGGGGTGTGTGATACTCATGCATGCAATAATATTCTGCGGGTATGGCACTCATGATCCTTGAGTCTATCCAGAGCCCCTGAACATCTGCTTTTCCTTGCATCTGCCTAGGTTAGCATAGGGGTGGAAAAGAGGCCAAACAAACTTATTTAGTCCCATGGAAGAAGAGCAGGGTGTTGTCACATATGGAAAACCAGGAGCAAAACTCGTGATTTCAGGCAAGGAATCCAAACTTTTTTAAGCTTCCTCTGAAAAATGGGCGCGAGACTTCCCTATCTTGCCAAGTTTTTGTCAGCACAAAATATGGTAGTCCAGGTAAATCACACTGTCCGGGGCCTGTAAAAAACACTTCCCTTTCTTTTTCATAGGAGGTAATAGACTCAAGTGCTTTGAGAGTTCCTCTTTGCTGATTTCCTTCTGGGCATTAACTATTAATCCTCCTCCTCCCTAGTGTCCAAAGACCATTTTGGAAAAGAAGGTCACAACCTCTGGTGGAGGCCTTGATCTCTGACTCCCCACCCACAACTCCCAGTATACGGCTGGACGAGGCTGGAAGGTGCCAAGCCGGTGCCTCCGCTGTCTGCAGCATTCAGAGTGCAGTAGGAGGGCCTGAAGGTCATCCTCCAGGAAGGGACAAAGGCTCCGCATGTGCTGCCATGGGGGTAGAGAAATCGCCCAGGCTCTATGACTGTGAGAGGTGGACAGAGAGACACAGGCTAGAGACCCCAACACAGCTTTATTAACACCTCAAGCTGACACCGCAATCCCTCCAACTAGATGTGTAAGGGGCCAGGAGTGAGGGGAACAGTGGGATAGAACCTGAAGATGATTATGAGGTCCAGAGCCCCCGAATTACTCATCACTTAACCAGTAACCCTAGAGGACAGCCGCATGCAGCCCCCACCCCACTTCAGCCGCTACTTCCGGCCGGGCAGTGTGAGCTTCCTTCTCCTTCTGTAGAGCCTGGCAGGGGCTGGCCCATTCGATCCACACACCAGCAGGGACCTCGGCGCTGCCTCTGGGAGGAGCGACACTGAGGGGAGAGCACAGAGACCAGGATTTAAGTCAAAGCTCCCAGCAGAGGAGATGAAAGGGGGCTCAGAAGCCTGTGAGTTCCCTGAGGAAGGAGTCCTGCACCCCGCTCCTCACCCACTAAGAGTAGTTTTCAATAGCACCAGCACACAAAAGAATGTATTAGAAACACAAGTTATCAGGCTCACCCAGACCTATTAAATCGGAAACTGCAGGAAAGGTGGGCTTAGCCATCCTCACAAGTCTTCCATGTGATTCGGAGGCCTCAGGTTCGAGAACCAAGGGAAGACCATTCCTCAGGGACTTTAAGTCTTCCACTACAATGTATGATTGGTTATTCTGTGTGTTTGTGTGGGTTCTAACATTAGAAGATGCAGAAATGGAGAGGCAGTGTCTTTTTTTATGAAACTCTGGGAGCACCATTCTTCACTCCCAGTCAGGACCTTATACTAGGGAGGAGTCATCTTACCTGCCGCTTCCGGTAAAAGCCTCGATGGTCACAATTAGGCACATACAGGGTTTGAGCCCCTCGGAAGATCTCAGTCTGGAGTTGCTGCAGCACTGAGTCTAGGTGTCTGCGGCAGGGGCCCTGGGGGATGAAGAGTGGTTGCTCAGAACCCCACTAGCCGGGGTCCCAGGACTGACACTGGAGACTTTTCCAAGTCCCCAGGAGTCTGAGGGCTTTCCCACCCTCTGCTTCCTCCAGCCCCAGAAGCACCATGTCAGTGTCTTGGATACCCCCAGGATTTGGACGGGCAGGAGTGGTCGAGGTTCCCGGATTCTTCTGTTGTTCTCTGCGGTTCACATCTTGGGAGCGAGTGGCACTTCCATGGGGTTTATTCTCCTTTGGAGTCTCCTCTATGGCCACAGGAGGGATGGGAGAAGAGTCCAGAAATAAGTCAGGTGCCAAAGATCAGGTGCTAAATGAAGGAAGGCCTTGCTCACCCGAACCCACTGAGGTGGGAGCCACAGTGGGCTTTACGGATTAGGAGAAAATGGACAGGGTTAGAATCTGACTTCAATGTCACCTTATACTGGCTGTAGTTTCTTTCTCTGAAAAATAGTTATATTATTTTTTCTGACAATATTCCCCTGAATAACTGTAAGTCTTATAAGGGAGAAGCAGTTTGCTTTTAGGTTTTTGTTTTTTGGAGTTTTGCTTTGTTTTGTTCTGAGATAGACTTGCTCTACAGTGCAGGCTGGCCTTGAACTCACTATGTAGCCCAGGCTGGTCTCGAACCTCCTACCCCAGCCTCTTGAGTTCTGGGATTACAGGCGTGTGCCACCACACCACACCTCATGTAAAGGGAAGCATTTTTTTTTTTTTTTTTTGAGACAGGGTCTCACTATGTAGTTGAGACTGACCTGGAACTCACTATGCAGCCCAGGCTGGTCTCGAACTCACAGTGATCATCCTGCCTCAGCCTCCCGAGTGCTGGGATTACAGGCGTGTGCCACCATGCCTGGCTTTGAGAAGCATTTTTTTTAAGGGAAGCATTTTGAAAAGTAAAAATTGAGGTGCCTCATTTCTTTGAGTACCTGAACTCTGCCCTTGAGTATGTCCTATATCAATCTAATAAATCCTTCTTATGTTTCCTAAAAACAAAACAAAACAAAACTGCCTGCCTCGAAAGTGCAAGGTCCCAAGTTTGATCTCCAGTACCAGAAAGAAAAAAAAAAGAAAGAAAAAAAAATTGAGAACAACTACAAAGCACGATTGGCTATTTTGAGGCTTTGGGTTTAGTGTAACAAGAACTAGCTGTTCCACCAGAAACCAGAAGGGGGTGCACCAAACCAGATGGAGGAGAAGAGCACTAGATATGGGAGAGGCTCAATAGGGGCCCAAGTGGAATGTGTGTCCTAGCTGTGACTCAGCCCACACCTCCCAAGCCTGAGATATGGTTACTTTTGAGGCACTGCAGTGAGGACCTCTCCCTTTTGGTCCCTTGTGGCTCAGACCAGTTCAACATCAGTGGTCTCAGGAGCGTCTGGATTCAGCCCTTAACCAGAGTGAGCTGAAGCAGGTTGCAGAGGTTCCGGGAATGAGAGGGTTTCAATGTGCAGGTTGCTCCTGGCTCTGGAGAGAGTTAGGTGGGTGGGGGGACTGGAAAGGATGAGGAAATAAATTGGGACTAGGATAAGGCAGGGAGAGGATCGTGCACTGACTGGAATTTGCCAGCTCATAACTATTTTTTTCAGTCAGGGTCTTGCTATGTAATTCAGGCTGGCCTTGAACTCACTGTGTAGCCCAGGCTGGCCTCAAAATTGTGGTGACCCTCCTGCCTCAGCCTGGATTATAGACATGTGCTGGGATTATAGGCATGTGCTATCATGCTGGGTTTTACTCAGGCTATAAAATTAGACATTAAAACCCCTGAGGGGAACTTTTTGCTCTCTTCATGTGCAGAAACAAGTGCTCATTTGCTTTATACTCGAATCCCAAGAGCAGTTTCCCTTTGCAGTTTTGACCCGACCCTTTCCCCCAAGGGATCCTACCTCAGGTCTGTTCCTCACTCGCTGTATTTAGCACCCAAACATGACTATGCTGCAAACTGTCTTCTTCTGCTCACCTACCACCCCTTCTAAGACGAATCCTGTAAGCACGGATTCAGGCTCTTGGGACTGAAAGCAGCTCAAGTTAATTTCTCATCCCTCCCAGAAGAGAAATCAGGAGATCAAGTGCCTCTGCAGGGGGCTGTGTGTGCTTCCTTCCCCCTCCCATCTCCCATTGCCCCCATCTTTGGTGTGCTGACTCACTCTTTGACTCAACCTCCCATTCTTCTTCCCTGGGGCAGGGAGGGTGGGGGTTTCTAAACAGGTTTAAATTACAAGCCGGATTTGTCAAATTCCTACCTCTCCCTTCTCAGGCCCTCAGGAGCCCACCCCTGATCCCAGTCTAGTCTGTCCAGCTCGGGGGCATCTTCTCTCTTAGACCTCAGGTTCCCACACTTTTAACATATCGTGAAGTGAAGACATTTCTCAGCATGGATAGAACTGGGGAGTCTAGAATCCCCTTCCTTTCTTTTCCAGGTGGAAACTGGTTCCTGTCTCCAGCTCGGGCGGCCAGGAATGAATGAGCTGGGCCCGCGGGTGGCCATGGATGCCCCTAAACCTCCGAATTCCCTGGTTCCGGCCCTTTTCTCTCAGAAGAACATAAAAAGGGAACAAAAGTTGAGGGGTCCGGGATTTAGCTCAGTGGTGCTGCCGTCTGCATCTCAAGTGCAAGGTCCCGAGTTGGATTCCCCTGTACACACACACACACACACACACACACAGTTGAGAACCTCATACCTTCATACCTCTCTCCTTTATGTCCAAGTCCCCTAGCCACACCCCAGACTTCTTTTCTAGTCCCCAGCATTAGCCCTTGCTCCCCCAAATGTGCCCTCTTCCTCAGGGCTTCTCGCCGGTCTCCCAGCCCCGCTGGGAACGCTGCTGGGCTCCCGGGGGCGGGACGGGGGCGGGACACGGACTCACCCGTGGGCACTCGCGCCTGGCGACAGCGGCCCCGGCCCATCAGCAGTGCCCGCAAAGGCTCCTCCTGGCCCTCGGGCGGGCGGCACTGCAGTCCCGAGGCACAGAACGGGGTGTACACCCCACACAGCTGCCCTTCTCTCCTCACACAGCCCTTGGCTTCTGCACACTTCTGGGCAGGAGGCGGCCCCCCATCCTCCTCCACGCACCCCTCCGGACAGCCCGCCTGCACCCCCTGCCCACAGTCTGGGCACCGTGTCAAGGAGCCTCCCGGGCAGACAGCGAGCAACAGAGTTAGCAACAGCAGTGGCGGCGGCAGCCCGTCGGGGGTCATGGTCAGGGTTTCTGCCCTGTCCACTTCTTGCAGAGCGGTCCTTGCGCAGCTGTTGCCCGCTGGCGCCCCTCTGCCTTAAGTAGCGCTGGTCAGGGGCCCGGCCCTTTAAGAGCCAGGTGAAGGGGGAGAGGGGGGAGAAGGCTGGGGCATTCCCTAAACTGGGTGGGACCGGAGAGTCCCCACCACCACCACCACCACCTGGGTCCTCCCCGCTTTTCTCTCTCCACTCCTTTCCAGTTTCTGTTTACTTCCCAAATTGCTCTGATTTTTCTTGTTTTGTCCTGGGACTCTCGCCCGGAATTTGGGAGCTGTAAAGCTGGCTAGAGGGACCGGAGGGTGGGGAGGCGGGAAAGAGAGAAAGATGGAGCTGGAGGAAGGAGAGACCTGCGATCCAGTTAGGAGGGTGCAGGGGTGGGAAGTGCAGGGCTGGGGGCCAAGAGTGAACTGAGAAGTCGCGGGGCGGTCCCTTGAGGGATGTGGGCGGAGGTGGAGAGAGCAAAGATGGAGATGAGATGGGAGAAAGCAGACCTGGGGAGAGGAGAGCGAGGGCAAGACTGGGGAGGGGACCAGAGAAAGAGGCCTGAGGTGGGTCTGTAGAGAAAAGGAGTGTGAGGGGCTCTGCTCCGGAGTCAGAAGATACAGGGGGTTAAGGCAGCCAGGGTTGAAAAGGGGCAAGGGTGGGGTGGCACCTCGCATAAACCCTAGCGTGGGAGGTGCCTCAGTCTGGAAGAGTTGGGAGAGAGGCTGAGGGCACCGAGGTGAGAGCTGGTTGAACACCTGGGAGGCAAGGGCAGCGGGGAAACTCTAGGGGTGGGGTGGGCAAAGTTAGGGGACGGGATGTTCCTCTGGGTTCTGGGTGCTCTTGGGGACAGTGCCAGAGAGCAGGCCTCACCCCACCCTCTGTCCTTCAAGTTAGCCTTTCCCCAAGACTGTCCCCTCTCAATCAGCCTAGATTCCTCAGGCCGTGCTCTGCCCAGAGGACTTCCAAGAGGGACTGGTCTGAGCCTCCACCCACTTGCCTGCCCTTTCCCCACCGCCTAGCTCACCCCTCCTGATCCACCCTTCCCCAGCACTCCCAGTCTCCAGGAG